TGAATTTAGGTGTTCAGGCTGACGTAGAACTAACTGGCCTGCAGAAGATAATGAAAGAAAACGCAGATTTTAAGACAGGATTTTTTTTAAATTGAAATTTTCTAAATTTTGGGACGATATAAAGAGTATATTTATATACATGTTTAAGCCAGAATGATTTTACATTTGACTTCCCTTCAACTTTGACTCAGGCATGTAGGATATTTCTCAACTATAATAAATTATTGCAAACTTAAACTCAATTATTTAACGCTTCAGTATGATTTTGCTTCAGCTCAGCTTATGGACCAGGGGGGCGGAACAGAACCAGAACCGGCACCAGAACTCACCTTGAAGCAGATTCCGTTCCCCCTCCTCCTCCTCTTCCTCCTCTGCCTCATCCTCCGGCTCTTCCTCATCATCACCGTCCTCCTCATCCATCCCCTCCTCCTCTTCGTCTTCTTCCTCCTCCTCCTCTTCCTCCTCCCGCTCATCTCCCCCTCTCATTTCTGTTCTCTCCAGTGGCATCCCTTCCTCTTCTTCTTCCTCCTCCTCCTCCTCTTCCTCCTCAGGATCCTCGTTGTCCTCAGAGAACTCTTCCTCCGCCGCCTCCTCTTCCTCCTCTCCCCTCTCCTTTCTCTCCCGTCCTACCTCCACAGTTTCGTTCTGATAACTGCCGAAGGCTCCAGTTGCCTCCTCCTCTTCCTCTCCCTGGCAGGGGCTGATGAAGGGCCTCCTCTTAGCCGCCGGTTCCGGTGTTTGCTTGTCCAGAGTCTTCCTCTTCTTGGCCAGCGGACATCCATAGATGCTGCAGAAAGAGAGGGAAGATCCAGAGCTGATAAATGTCCTTTAAATGATTCGTCTCCTGGATTCATCATGAAATCATCGGAACCGTTTTAAAAGCAGGAACCGATCTGGGAACGTCTGTTAAATAGTGATTTTGATTCAGTCTGCTGCAAAGAGCAGCAACACTCCCTGATCAGTAGCAAACCGTATAAACATTCATCATTCATTCACATTACTGTCAGAACCTTTACTTTTATTGAGAAGTTTTACAAAATTCTATTTTGTTTTTGATTTTCTTTTTTTTTCCTGTGTTATTTGCTTTCATTAATTATGGAACAGATTTCTCCCCATATCCCTGATAATGGTTTGGTTTTAAGCCGGTGTTCTGTCAGATCAGCATACCCCATCAGACCAGCATACCGCTTTATCCCTTTAGTTTATCTCTTTAGTTTATCTCTTTAGTTCATCCCTTAAGTTTTGTATGAATAGACTTTAAACTACCTCAACGGGTGTGAATTCCCTTATTTATGTACAGAAAAACAATTTAATTACTTACTTTTTGGTGTTTTTTGAAGCGTATGGCGATCTGACCTTAAACTGTTTGGTTTATACATGACTAAAGGGATAGACGCCCGTTGAGGTAGTTTAAAGTCTATTTTTCCTACAAAACTGACTATAGGTATGCCGGTCTGACTATAGGTATGCCGGTCTGACTATAGGTATGCCGGTCTGACTATAG